AGGAAAAGCCTCATGTTCACAGGCCCTTGTTCTCATGGGGGACTTCAGCCACCCTGACATCTGTTGGAAGGACGGTACGGCCCGGCACAAGCAATCCAGGAGGTTCCTCGATTGTGTGGAAGACAACTTCCTTCTGCAAGTAATAGAGGAGCTGACAAGGAGAGGTGCCATGCTTGACCTCGTGCTCACCAACAGGGAAGGGCTGGTTGGAAATGTGACGCTCCAGGGCAGCCTTGGATGCAGCAATCATGAGATGGTTAAGTTCAAGATCCTCAGGACAGTGAGAAGAGTGTGCAGCAAGCTCACTGCCCTGGACTTGAAGAGAGCAGACTTTGGCCTCTTTAGGAACCTGCTTAGTAAGGTTCCATGGGATACAGCCCTAGAGGGCAGAGGGGCCCGAGACTGTTGGTTGATATTCAAGATCACCTGCTACAAGCTCAGGAGTGCTGCATCCCAACCAGAAGGAAATGCAGCAGGAGGGCCAGGAGACCTCCTTGGATGGATAAGGAGCTGCTGAGGAAAATTCAGTTGAAAAAAGAGGCTTATAATAAGTGGAAGCAAAGACAGGTGGCATGGGAAGAATACAGGGGTGTTGTCCGGGAAGCTAGGGACCATGTTAGGAAAGCTAAGGCCCAGTTAGAATTAAACTTAGCTAGAGGTATTAAAGATAACAGGAAGGGATTCTACAGGTACATAGCAAATAAAAAACAGACTAGGAAGAATGTAGGCCCCCTCAGGAAGCTCTCAGGAGAACTGGCTACACAGGATTTGGAGAAGACTGAGGTTCTGAATGACTTCTTTGCTTCGGTCTTCACTGCCAAAGGCTCTGACCAAACCACCCAAGACTTGGAAGGCAGACGCAGGGACTGTGAGAATGAAGACCCTGGGCCCACTGTAGGAGAGGATCTGGTTCGAGACCATCTTAAAAATCTGAACGTGCACAAGTCCATGGGTCCTGATGAAATCCATCCGTGGGTCCTGAAGGAGCTGGCAAATGAAGTTGCTAAGCTGCTGGCTATCATATTTGAGAAATCATGGCAGTCAGGTGAAATCCCGATGACTGGAAAAAAGGAAATATAACCCTCATTTTCAAGAAAGGGAAAATGGTTGACCCAGGGAACTACAGAGCAGTCAGTCTCACCTCTGTGCCTGACAAAATCTTGGAGCAGATTCTCCTGGAAGGCATGCTAAGGCACAAGAAAAACAACAAGGTGCTTGGTGACAGCCAGCATGGCTTCACTAAGGGGAAATCCTGCCTGACCAATTTGGTGGCCTTCTATGATGGGGCTACAGAACTGATGGACAGGGGTAGAGCAGTTGATGTCATCTACCTGGACTTGTGGAAAGTGTTTGACACTGTCCCACACAACATCCTTGTGTCTAATGTGGAGAGACATCAATTTGATGGATGGACCACTCGGTGGATAAAGAACTGGCTGGATGGCCGCACACACAGAGTTATGGTCAATGGCTCAATGTCCAGCTGGAGACCAGTAGCAAGTGGTGTCCCTCAGGGATTGGTGTTGGGACCGGTCTTGTTCAACATCTTTGTTGCTGACATGGACAGTGGGATTGAGTGCGCCCTCAGCAAGTTTGCTGATGACACCAAGCTGTGTGGTTCGGTTGATACGCTGGAGGGAAGGAATGCCATCCAGAGGGACCTTGACACGCTTGTGAGGTGGGCTGATGCCAACCTCATGAGGTTTAACCATGACAAGTGCAAGGTCCTACACCTGGGTTGGGGCAATCCCAGGCACAGCTACAGGTTGGGCAGAGAAGAGATCCAGAGCAGCCCTGCGGAGAAGGACTTGGGGTGTTGGTTGATGAGAAAATGAACATGAGCCGGCTGCAGTGTGTGCTTGCAGCCCAGAAAGCCAACCGTATCCTGGGCTGCATCAAAAGGAGTGTGACTAGCAGGTCAAAGGAGGTGATCCTGCCCCTCTACTCTGCTCTTGTGAGACTTCACTTGGAGTATTGTGTGCAGTTCTGGTGTCCTCAACATAAAAAGGACATGGAACTGCTGGAACAAGTCCAGAGAAGGGCCACGAGGATGATCAGGGGACTGGAGCACCTCCCGTATGAAGACAGGCTGAGAAAGTTGGGGCTGTTGAGCCTGGAGAAGAGAAGACTGCGTGGAGACCTCATAGCAGCCTTCCAGTATCTGAAGGGGGGCTATAGGGATGCTGGGAAGGGACTCTTTGTTAGAGACTGTAGTGACAGGACAAGGGGTAACGGGTTAAAACTTAAACAGGGGAAGTTTAGATTGGATATAAGGAGGAAATTCTTTCCTGTTAGGGTGGTGAGGCACTGGAATGGGTTGCCCAGGGAGGTTGTGAATGCTCCATCCCTGGCAGTGTTCAAGGCCAGGTTGGACGAGGCCTTGGGTGATATGGTTTAGTGTGAGGTGTCCCTGCCCACGGCAGGGGGTTGGAACTAGGTGATCTTAAGGTCCTTTCCAACCCTAACGATTCTATGATTCTATCTTTATTTACTTTTTCTAGCAAGCAGGAGTCAGGTAGTCATCAAATGAGAGGTGCATGTCCTGATAAACTTTCTGTCTGCACTGAAATGGAGTAGTAAAAGGTTTGGTAGGGAAAACATGACTTTTTTTCTTTTTTTATGCTAGGCCTGTATATGCTTCGCAAATTTAGCTATCTGAAGGAGAAAATCAGGTGAGACTCTGACCATATTTAAGTCCATAGTTAAGACTTTTCTCCAAATTTTGTTTTCATGTGTGAGAAAGCCACTGTAGTTTATCAAGTTATGGGCTGTAGTCAGTGTTTTTCCAGGAATACTCTGTACTCTTGTAAAAAAAGAAACTCAGTAAACTTCTGATAACTGTACTTGACAGCAGCGCTGCAGCCTCCTTGGGGGCTGAGTTTATCAGCTTCAGGCATACACCACACAACCAGTAGCTTTCAAGAGTTGTTCTAGTTTTGGTGGAGAAGGATGTAGCTTCTTGGTGCTGGTTATGACTCAGCCATAAGGCAGGTTTGCTGTTAAACACCGGTTCTCTGGTTTGTGAGTGATGGGGACGTGAACTTGAAACATTTCCTTGTTGGCAGCAACTATGTTGGCATTTCATATCCGGCTTCTTAACTCAGTTATTTTTAACCATCAAAAGGCTTGTGATCATCAGAGAAAATGGCAACCACTGTACAGTCAGAAAAATACATAGTGTGGTCATGCCGGTTACACAGAACAGGAAACTAGTGATGAACAGAGGAGAAGGAACTGTGGTGTTTAGTCTGAAACAGCTGCGGGGCTCAGCAGGATGACAGCACAGCTTATCCAGGTCTGTCCAAGATAAAGCAGTATTTTATACTTAACGTAGTTTGACCAATCAGCCAGGAAACACTGCATAAAATTTGTCATTGGTTCTGGAATGTAGGCAGTGATGAAATCCCTTCACAGAGAATGGATATCACTCACTAATGGATTTTGCTGCCCCAGAGAATAATGACATTTAGCTCATTCATGCTCATGATGTTGTGCCATCGTTAGAAAAATGCTGGAGGAAGGACTTTCTTTTGTGAAATGTCTGGCGTTTATAGACATTGACTTTAGACAGATGACGGGGTTTGCATTTTGTGTATATGAACTGCTTACTAGCTAGGACCCAGCTTTTCTTTCTCAAGTGAGCAAGTTTTCTTGCATCTGGCTGAATTTCTTTAAACAAGCAATTGAAGAAGCCTAACATACTGTAAAATAGAGTAGTCTAACTGAGGAAAATGCAAAAAAAGTCTTTCCAGCTGTTCTTTGTAATCATTTACTGTATGGAAAAAACGAGAACTGTTTTCTATCTTACTGCTTGGTAGAAATTTGGGGATTAGTTGAAATCTAATAGATAAATCAGCACCATACATAAAAAGTACAACTTTCAGCCCACTTCTAGAAGGGCTGAAAGCACCTTTACTAGCTATTTTCATAAAGGCACCAGGTTGAATAAAGGGCTTTACAGTGCAGGACAAATAAACCAGTAATATTTATGGGATCTGAAAGGTTGTGCTCATTTTCCAGATGAACTGGTTGTGTTTAAGCAAAAACTATTTTTCATTAATTCTTCCTGTTCTTCTGATTAAAATTTTAAAGAAAAACAGAATGTAGCCACTAGCATATTCGGCATTTTGATTAAATTTCTCATCTTTGTGCAAAGACAAATCATGTGTTCAGGGACTCCAGATCAGTAAAACATCTAATCTGAGCCTTCTCTTTCTGGGCTGAAGCACAGCAGGATGTTCAGGTAGTTTAGCAGGATGGGAAGCTGTGGCTTTTGCTCCTGCATCACTAGAAATGTGTTTTCCCTCTGCAGCAGTCAATCACCTGTTTTGAGTATCCCACTGTTTACCTGAGCACTGGGCTGACTCCAGGATCCTTTCATTGCAATAGCAGTTTACTGAACTGGCAGTGGAATTTTTTCTATTGTCCCAATGTGGCCAAATAAGCAGATGCAGTGTGAGAGTTGGGTTGGGTGTTTTTTTTTTTTTTGGTTGTTTTTTTTTTTCTTTTTCCAGGCAAGAAAATCAATGTAGGAAAACTCCAGAGGAAAAAAGGTCAGAATGTTTATGATGATGCCTAAATAAAGCTGAGTGAGGGCTAGCTAAACACAAACTCAAAACCAGATGCAGACATTCGTAAGTATTTGAAAAGTGCAAGTATGAACCACAGGTAGAGATGCTAGAATGTTTTGCAAGCTCTGTATGCCTAGCAGTAATGTGTGAAAACAGAGGATGCAGCAGGAACAGATTAAAATTAGGACTAGGCCATTATTATCTGAAATAAGCCTTTCACAAGGAAAACCACAGGATAGCTCCAAGTTTAGATAAAACACGGCATGGTGTGTACTAGAGACCAGTCAGTAAAGAAATGTTGGATGGATGAGGAAGGGTAGCCTTTTGCTAATCCTGGTACCTAGGAGTGAGCGTAACTGTTACAACATGTGTTGTGTTTGGTGTTAAACTGGTCATTTGTTAAACTCCTGTCTTTGTTTTTATTTCTAGGCCTCTTCCTTATTTTAGGTTTGATAATTTACCCTGCAGGTTGGGGATGCCAGAAAGCAATAAGCTATTGTGGACCTTATGCTTCTGCTTACAAACTAGGAGACTGCTCCGTGGGCTGGGCTTTCTACACAGCTATTGGTGGCACTATTCTGACGTTCATCTGTGCAGTCTTCTCGGCGCAAGCTGAAATAGCCACGTCCAGTGACAAAGTGCAAGAAGAAATAGAAGAAGGAAAAAACCTTATCTGCCTCCTTTAACTCCAGTGGGGAAAAGATACCAGTGCCTGGATCTTAATCTGCTTTCCATTGACTGGTCAAGCAGATCCACTTACTTTTTTCTACCATTTGTGTGATTGAGCCCCATGCATTCCAGCCCCGAACTACTGAAATGGTCTTTCTCCCTTGCTCAGCAATGAGGATCAGGGAAAGAATCCCAAGAAAGCAGAATGTAAATATTGGGGATTTTTTTTAGTTTCATTCTATGATCAGGACACAGTGGAATACAGTAATCTGACTGGGAGGTGAGGAATCATGTATATAGCAGGAATGTTGCTGTTATAACTGACAAATTCTGATTGATCGGATTGCCTTACCCACCTTGTCCACTTTGAGGAATTTGGATTTAAAATAATAAAAGCCAGCACATTTTTTTTCTTATACAGAAAAGAGAAGCCTATTTTAATTAGGCTTTGTTTCCAAGGGCTCCCCTCACCTGTGAATATTTCACCACCACCTTGTTTGGTACCATCCTTTTCACTGAGGTGCTTTTGATATTAAACTCACTTAAAGTACAGTGCCTTCTCAGACAGGAAGTACATGTTGGAGAGAGGAAAGCTGATGTGACACAGTTTACAATGACCTTTAAACGTTTATGAAGTTGAGTCCCTGCCAGCTTTATTTGTCTTACAACTTACAGTGCAAAGTGTATGCCACTTGTTACGTAGCGGGTACATGATTGTGTTTCCATTGGCTAGACAGAGAAGCTGCTGTTACACTGGCTTTCACCTGACTCGGATAAAATTGTTTGAAGTAACCATTGTTAGAAACATTTCTGCAGCCTTTATTAATAAACTCCTGACATCCCAATCAGATGACAACTCCCCAGAGCATATCTGAACATTGCCTTATGAATGCCAACAGCCTGGCCTGGGCAGATCACATGCTGGACTTCCAACAGTATTATTCTTTCTCTTGACAGCGAGAAGTCATTCCTAGTTTACAGATCAGTGTCTCATGACTCAGAGCTACACGAGTCCTCAAGAAATACACATTTTTTCAGGAAGTCTTGCAAATTCCACATGCCTGGCAAGATCTTTTCCTGTTGTTTTTTTTTTAACGTGCTTGTAGTATGGACCCTTTTCCAACTCAGTCAGGAGAAATAAAAGAGACCTTGCCACAAATGACATTCCTTTATCAAAGACAGGTGGTTGTACTACTTGTGGTGTTGCATCACTTACCTTTTAAATTTGTTTTCAGTAGTTCTGGTATCTTAAAAAGAAAAGGAATGGTGTAACTGTGCAATAGGAGCATTGGGGATAATTCAGCTGAGTAGTAGTTCTAATTAAATACTTCGTGAACTTTAGACTCCTTTTCTTACTTCTTGGTATTCTAACATCATGCAATGACAGCATTGCTTTCTATCACTTCACTGTATAATATGGAGCCAGAGATTCTTGTTCATGCCTGGTCAGTCCCTTACAGTCTGCTGTTAGTTATTTGTAGGTATTAAGAAAACATTGTTAGCGTACAGGTAGGTAGCTGATTTCAATAGGAGAGCTGTTTTGCAGTCATGACCACAGGCCCGGGGCCAGGCTCAGGCAGGGGTGTACAGCAGGAGTCATGGTGATAGAGCACCCCTTCAGTGCCTGTGTGCAGCACAGGCTTGGCCTAGCCAATGTATGGAGCCCAGCACTGGACCTGCATGTTTCCTTGCCCAGAGCACCTTCAAGCTACAGCCTGGGTGGGTACAGAGGTCATCTCTGAACCACTGAACAACACAGTCAACTTCTGATGATATTAAAAAGGGGTTGTTTTAATCTAGTTGCTTCTTGCATTCACCTACTCCTGCAACCCACATCTTTCTACTTTAAAATGGTTAATTACCTTTTAAGTATGTAATTTAATAAAAGTTATGGTCTGGAACCTTTTTTGTCAAGTGCCTGCACAAAGCAAGATTGTAACAAACCAAAATTTACTAGCACAGAGTGGTGTCCAAGGACAGAACTCACAGCCAGCACGTCCTGTCCACACGTTTCTCCCTGTCTTTCTCCAGCACACAGATACAGACATCTATGATCTGAACAGGCACTTGGCTGTCCCTTTCTCCACACAGCTGCACTCCTGATGCTCCTCCTGATCCTGCTGCTGGCGCATGTGCCAGGCCATGAGCTCAGCAGTGATCCTCTGGGTTCTGCACAAGGGGTCAAGGAAGTATGAGGGTAGCATGAAACTCAGCTAAAACCTGATTGTGAAAGAGAGCTTCAGTTTTAGCTTTTCTTAGGTGGGTAGCAATCCAACGTCCATGTCACCACAAATCTTGACACTATGTAAGGGTGACAAATGCTGCTTTGGCTTAAACACTTGTTTAGTCAGAATAAGGTCAGTTCTTCCAAAAGGTTTAGAGGGCATATACTGCTTTGGCTTAGAAGTAAACAGTGACCAACCTTCATTTACATTACTAGCTGACCTCTGCTGTGAGCTACAGAATGCTTGAAAATGTTTATAGTGCAGTTTTTAAGTACAAAGGTGGTATTTTTCAGTGGCCGTTTTGCTTTTGTAACCAAGAAGAACCAGCTTTTCTCCTTGTTTCTGGTGTACTATCAACTTGCTCTGCAATAACATAATCAACTAACTTGCAATATCCATGTTCATCACGTAGCACAGATAGAAGACAGGCTGGGAAGAAATACAGAAAACAACCATTCAGAATTTCTTTTCTCAGGGTTCTGTTTTTCTAGCAAGTGTTAAGATGGTCTGTATTGCAAATCCCTTTTTCCTGGATGAGGTTTTCAGGTGCAGGGTGCACTCATTAGCTTTGACAGCTGTTTAAAGTTGTTCCTGAAGTTCACCTCAGCAGTAGCTTTCAAAAATAAAATAAAAAAAAAAATTCCAAACCAGGTATCAGCTTAAAGCTAATTTAATTAATTCCATGAGAGGGCTGCAGAGTGTAACTGCTTCTTAATGTACAAGCACAGCATAGCAGCTAGAAGAATTTGCTGTGGATTCTTTAAAACCTGTGTGCCAATTAGTTCAGTTTAACTTTGTGGTATTGAAGAATTCTTCAGACATCTGTGGTTTGATAGACTTCATAGACTAAACTTGTATTCTCTAAAGTGCCATAGACCTTTTTTTAATTGTAGCATATTTAAATATATATATATATATATATACACAAACATGTGTGAGATGTGCAATACCAGGAATGGATTTTGTTGTGTTTCGAGTTTGGGTTTTTTCCTTAGTTTTTGCTTTTAAACAACATATTTGAAAGGGAGTTCCCATGGAAGAAGTGGCTGAGGTTTTGGTGGTGTGGACAAACTAAAGCATGGCATAATGCAATAGAATCACTAATCCTGATGATTAATATAACAGTAGTAAGACCAGGTTAAAGATTTATCAAAACTGTCTTCTAGATTCATTTAAAATGCTCAGACCTATATACTACAGACAGTTCAAATGTGAACTGTGTCCATCCCTGGCACTGAAAAGGCTCAGCAAGGTTTCTTAATGTGCTTTAATTGTAACATGGCACTGCAGAAAACATTGCTACTGAGCTATTCCTGGGCTGCCTGTATCACCTCTGTATCTATTTTACTCAATAAAGTTCTCTGGAGTCTGATTTTTTTTTTCCAGCCAAATCATTTCCTTTTTACACTGTTATCCCACCCCAGAGTATCTCATGTCCTAGTGGTAAACAAAGAGGAGCTCAAGTCTTTCTCAAAAGCAGTGGGCATTCGTGCCCACCTCAAGGAAAGGACAGAGCCCAACAGCAGCAGAGCATGGCAGCAACATGTTACAGCACAGCCGCTCTGTACGAACAGCGGCTGCAGCAGTCCACCACAGTCCACCTGGAGTAGATTTTGAGCATGGTTTATTTGTGGTACTATTTAACTGTTCTTGAGTCACCACTATGTACATTTTTTAGCATGAGTGATGTACCTGATGTGTTACTTTTAATCTAAATTTCAATTAAAATGCGAGTTTTCAATCTTTAACAGGAGTCTGACTACCTTAATTCAAACATACTGGGCAAACTGAACCACAGCAAGGTAGTTTAATTGTAGCATTAATAGTATGTAAGATCCCAGCCCACTGATATTGTTAAGTAGTTCAGATTTCCATCTGATTTGAACAGTTATTACCACTTACTGATCAAAAGTACGTGATCTGAAATTGTAGCTATGTGTAATACAATACATTAAAGAGACTTTCTAATTGATTGTATGCCTGACCAATGTTCTTCATTTTGCAACTAAAGCACTGCAGTTCCTGTCTCATGAAACAGGGTAGCAAAGGTTTTAAACCAAATACTGCTTAATTACACAGACATTTTAAATGCTGTTTGCCACATTGTTCCTTGCCTTTCACCTGTGACTTGACAAACTCCAGGGAGGTCACATAAAGCTTTCAGCATCTCATAGAAGTTAGTATGTCACTTTTGTGTCACAGTTGCTACAGTCCCTTTCTATTAAATTTATATATAGTTTATTCCCACTTCTAACAGTTTCTAAACTTCCAAGAATTAGCTCTTGGTTAAAACTCAGAACATCTAGAAACTTGCAGCCTAGAAGAAGTTAAGAGGACAGGTGCCACCCAGCGCACTACTACATTAGCAATCTAATGCATCACCACATTGGTCACATGTAGCAGGTTGTTACCCAGCATACATTAGCTCTGTTCCAAACATGCTGCCAATTACTAACATAAGCCCCACCTTCATTAACAAAAATCAGTCTCTGAAATTTCCCATCTCACTAGCTGAAAAGCTTCCTTTCCCAAATCGCGGGCACAAAGAAGTAAAACCTGGTCTTTTCAATGCTTTGTACAGCAGCTCCCTTGTGCTGAAGAGTTCTCCTTCACCTCTGAGTAATGGAACAGCAATGCATAGGAACACTCACTGAAGCTTGACTATACAGACTTACATAGATATGTCTATACACACATACACATTACATAATCACTTTGCAGCACCAAGTGTGAGCACTATTGTTCACTGTAATCACCATCCAGCAAAAAGCATATTTTAAACACGCTGTATATGCTGCCATTAAACAGCTGGACAATTAATTTATTTTCTTCTAGAACAAATATATAGCAGAGTGATCCACAAGTTGTACTTCCCATTGGTACTCTTTTCCCCTCAGTGGAGTGTGACATAGCTTTATTCTATCATAAAGTGAAACTAAAATGCTACTCCTGAGGTGAGAAATTGGCACCTTCCTGATTTTTCTGCTGATGAGCGCAAAAGCTACTTGCGGACATAAAATTAATTTGTAGGAAAAAAGTCTACAAACTAATTCTTACACATTAATGTAACTGAGTGAAAACTAACACGTTTGTTTTCATTGCCTGATTCACTGTGCCTTACTGCTGATTCGTAACCAGAATGCTCCAGGTGTGGGCCTTTTTCCTTGAGAAAAATGCCTTTCCAGAAGTATCTCTGAGTGGTATTAACCATAGTTCTCTTCCCTGTGCTGGTTTCTTTCGGTATGCATACCTTCCCAACTTGGTGCTTGCAAATTCTTGAGGAAAACTAGCCTCAGCAAACCAGACAGATTATCCCTCTCCATGACAGCTCTAAAATTGTGTATTTCTAACCATAAAACATAACTGGATCATGCTCCACAATCGTGCTTACCAAGAACATACAAAACCTGTTCCTTTAGGCTGCTGCCACTGCTGTCCTACATATGTAACTTACAAAGAAACAGACCAGTCTGACGAAGAATTTCACTACTGATTTGTGTATATACAAGCATCTTCAAAACCACATGTCTGCTACCTCCTGTATCTCAAAGCACTGTTCTTTGTATTGTGCATTTCCAAATATAGCTATGCCACAGTGGACTAGCTAAAGTCGGTCTGCCCTTCAAAGAAAACCTAGTAATAAATTCAGTACTTGAGGCATGCGTCACAGTCGAAAAGAAATCGCTGTGACAGTGCCTAAGAAAAAAAGAAAAAGCAAGACACAGCAGTGATGCAGGTATGTCAATTCATAGGCAGACACTGGGAAAATAAACAGTACCAAAGCAGTGCTGTTTTCAGCAGCTCTCAATAGGGTTTTACTCACTTTATACCTGTAGAATTTAATTCAGTAATGACAGAACATGTTTACATTTTAGTCCTTGTGAGTTTACAGCAGAAGAAAGTGGCTGCAACTGTTCAAGAATTTCCATCTTAACAGTTGAGTACACTGGTTCTCAATACCCTAATGTATTATTTTGATAATGGACATTTTGCTTTCCCATTTTAGCAGAATTACACCATTTATGTACTAGATTATAAAACCAAATGAGACTTTCACACAGATCATCCACCCTGCACGTTACCCTGACCATTAGAAGAAAACTCCCTACATTGGTCAAAACTATACATAGCAAACACCCAGGAAAAAACTCCTTTTTTATTCTGTGACACCGTTTTAATACAATAAATATACAAAACTTCTGAGCTACTCAGACATGCAACAGAGGGACAGAAGTGGTGCATTTGTACAGAACCACAACATTCACCAGGATGGCAGAGCGTTGTTAGTAATTTACAAAATATACAAACAGCCCTCAGATAAATAAAACCAACTCCTAAATTACAGATCAATGACTACTGACGTTCCAGTGTTTAAACTTAATACTTTGTACTCAAATTTGCCACAATATTACAAAATTACAACTTATGTGGGTGCCATACTCTGATAATAAGAGACTGTAAAATCTAGTTTCATTAGGTACAAAATATTTTAAGAAGTCTCAGCCTTCTGTTGTCAAGGGTAAACTCAAACTTCTTCCCTTTTAGGCTGCAAGTGTCAGAGATTTCTGGTTTAAACAATTCATGTGTAACTGAACCTTAAATTTCACTTAGGACATTTAAATCCGTACATTCAACCCATGACACTACGAACCAACACTCCATACACATAGAACATTAAATAAGTTTTCTCAAAGAGCCTTTAAACATTTGGGGAGAAGTCTACCTGCCAAATTTAATTTTTATTCCTAATGTGGGGTGGTGTTTTTTTTTCCCAGAATATATTTTGGTAATGTATGTTACTATGTGATCTTCAACTAAGTTAAATTGCAAGAATTATGTCCCTGGAATTACCATCCAAGAGATACAAAGAGAATTGCTTAAATTTAGATTTTGAAGTAATCCACAGCAGAGGTTCTGAGACACAAGGTTCAAGTTAAATTTAAAAGACTATGAAAATGAACAATCTTGATATACAGCTGCTAGAAAGATAATGCCTGATCTCAATGGAAAATGGTGACTTTTATCTGGAAAGCTTTTAATAACATTCCACATATATTGAAGTTCAGTGCTAGCATGTCCAGTGATATGAAATTTTAGAGCCCCTATTACACAGAATATTTAAATTGCTTTTAACTTCATGATGCAGAGAACATTTAGAAGCAAGTATATTCATTAATATTAATTTCAGCATGGTGAAACTACGATATTCATTCAAATTAAAGTTGGATTTAAAGAAATTAGAAGAAAGGAAATTAATAGGGACTTCATGCTCACAATACAATACTGATCCAGGAATTAAGCTAGGTTTTTTATTTTTGTAATGCTCTTCTGTTATTTTGAATACAGTGCAGTGAAAAAGAATCTGTGTAAGTCAGTCCACATTCTGGCAAGGCCTCAGGATTTTATGCCATCTTACTAAAGGTGATTTGCCTTCACAGCTGAATTCATTTCAGCCACAGTGGATGCACAAGTTGGGAACAGGAAGGACCACATCCCACATTTTCTAAAACAAAGTTTGGAAAAACAGCCCAAATCTTGTGCATAAGACTCATGAAGCAATGAGTACAATAAATAATGTTCAAATGAGAGAAACATGACATTATACTAAGACCTGGTTATATTCCAGAATAAGACCATGGCATGTACCATTATGGATTGTTCAGTTCCACAGCACCAATTTAACCTCGTAGGCCTCCAGTTCAGTGAGTTAAATTTTAACTTTAAAACTAAAAAAAAAAAAAAATAATTAAAGTTTAAAATTTAACTTTGTTGAAGATGAGTGTTTCCACTTTTCCAACAGAAAATATTTTAAAACTTTCCTTCTCCCAGCTTAAATCACATCACAGAGATGGCTGAGATAATGTTAAAATGATTCAAGTATCTGTTAAATGCCATTGCTTAAAAAGCTTGGGTTTAGACACAATTCCTTTTAGAATATTAAATACTGTATAGTTAAGTTTTTGGACAAGCAGTAAATAAGAATGGCTGGGCTAGAGATTTAGTACCACTGTTAAACAGAAACACACTTTAACAAAAACAAAATAAACCAAAAAAATCCCCAATCCAATAAAATTACAACTGCATGTAGAAGAGCGAAAAGGGGGTAAGAAACTAGTGTTCTAAAAGTCAATACTTGTTTATTTCCCAGCAAAATTATTACCCCAAGACATGAATATTGAAATTAAAGATAGCAAATATATAATCATTTAGCTCTGTGATTGAAACTATCCGTTAACTTCCTTAAACTGTACACTGCATTACACATTCTATTACAGAGAATGTTTCTGCACCACAGTCATTTCTCACAGGTAGAGAATACTCCATGAAAATAGATACAAACAAACGCTATAATTGTAAAGAGGTGCAGATAAATTCTGGACCAAAACACTATTTAAACAAGATCAGATAAAACTCAACAGTATTCATGCAAACTTACAGGTTTATATCAAAAGACTTATCCTAAAAGATCCCCAAGAATTTGTAGTATCTATCCTACTTTTATTTGTCCTCCAGCAGCTGCTGAAACTGCAAAACCAGTAGGCAAACATCACCTCCTTACATCTTTCAGTCTACCTCACTTCTTAACAGTAGAAATAGAAAAAACAGTTCTGACAAAGTAAAATAATTGATCCAAAGTGCTTTCCTGAAGGTAAAAAAAAAAAAAAAAAAAAATACTAGAGTGAACCAGTAAAAAAACCTTCCAAATTCTTAATAGTTATTTGATAGTTATTCATTTTCAGGCCAATTGTTGAAATCATTTATCCTCCAGAAAATATGGAAGGCTTTATATTCTAGAATATAACACCTTCAAGAAGGGCAAAGAATGGTTATCTTTTTCAAATAAATAAATTTAGAGCAAGATAAACCAAACATTTCCCATTTTATCCATGCACAGCTGCAAAAGAGGCAAACATGCTGTGTGAATTTTGACCTAGGCTTTTAGGGAATATAGTAAGTGACTGGAAAATAAAGTACAATCAAAGAGAACTGTTATGATTTCTTCTGTTTCCCTACATCCGGTTACCCTTGAACGCATTCTGAGCTGCACTGGTTGCTGCTGTTGATGCGGCGTTGGCTGCAGCACTCTGTACAGTTTTGTTGGACATCACCCCTGTGGCAAACTCTTGCTGTGCTTTCTCAAAACTGGCACCGGTTGTGCGGTAGAGACCGTGCACCTAGGGAGTAGAAATGCAGTGAAAAATCAGTGCCCAGCCTTCCACTTCCTGGTAGACTGATAGCAAATTCTTAAACACAAGGCAGACCCATGTGTTTGGGAAAGCTGGTTTGCTCAAGCATTTCAGAGGATCTGGAAATGAGTAAACTGACCTTTTCCTCACAAATCCTACAACAAACTGCCCCACTGCATGCACAGTTTGACTGCAGGAATACCTGTAACTTTTTGCAAGTTCAGAGTGGTCTCATAGGTATTTACTGAAATGTGTGTGGTATCTCCTGTCTGAAATAACATATTTAAATATACAAACAGGCTGCATCCTTTGTGTAACACAGGGCTCACAGCTGGCAAAACTGGATTCTGTCTCAATTTGTATACAACTTGTACTCATTAAAAGAGTAAGTGTGCACATTAAAAAAACAGGAGGAATCAAAACCAAAAGAGTAGTTTTGAATCCATGATGTCGATAACATTTTGGTAATTTTTTAAAAAAAATCTTAATTTCTCTGACTGATACAATGACAAGAACAAGCTAAGCTATGACTGAATATCAAACTGTACAGAATATCCTAATAATGCAGACATGTATCTGCTAAGCTATGTGATGACCAATAGCTCTGCAGAGGTATTAAACAATGACTTACACTCTCAACAATATGGCATATAACCTTTCGTACAACAAAAAATAACAAATACTGAGTGATTTCCAATTACTTGAGTATTAAAATTAAAATGCTATTTCTGACTCATATTCAATCAAGTCACAATAAAGTTGTTGAACAAGACTGCAAAGACATTTTCATTCAACTGTAGCAGGAAAATTAAAGTTGTAACTTTTATCTTTGTTATAAATACAACTGTTTCTCATCCATGAAGCTATACCACGATGCTATATACCAGAAGCTATATACCAGGTTTTTTATATATATATATATACACACACCATGCTATATACCAGTTTTTTTAGAAGAATCCACATGAATATGGTAGGAAGCAGTAGAAAAAAAAAAGCTCCACCATATGTTTTTCTCACTTGTTTCTTTCTGCTGAACTTGAGTATTTATGCAGAAAATAAGTAAGAAGGGACATCTCCAAGCAATGCTTAACATTTCCAGCTTGCTGTATATAGGCCAAAGAGTTTGGCTATGTGAAAATCTTTACGTGTAACTGTTACAGAGGTTGAATAATTAGAATTGCCAGAAAATCATCACCAGAATTCTGTTACATTTTACATAAACAACATAAAAAGCTTGCTAGAACTTTAGTATCTAAACTTAAGACTTCTGAATGCAAATTCTCAAAAAGCAACCAAGGGAAAAAAGGATCTTTGAGCTTTCATTCTATGCAATCATTAACTGGCAACAAATTTTAAAATAATAAAAGCAGAGAAATAGAAGTAATTTTCTGAGGTACCAGGCATCTCCCTCTTCTATTGATTTTAATGGGAATTAATTTGGCCAGAGATGAAATTTAGCAGTCACTGGAGTCATACTTCACTCAGCCTTATGAATTAGCACAGATTTGGAAATCACAACTTGACCTCTACAGGTACAACTGGAGCATCCAGTGCATTCATCTATCCCTTCACTGTGGGCCTGCCTCCCACAGAAAGGGAGGCTCAGAACTCCGAGTTTCTCTTACTTAGAGCTACCCTTCCCCATTTTAGTTTGCAGAAAATACTTTGTACTGTATTGTACAAACAGTATTTCATAACTCCACAACATAAGCAAAAAAATGCAGCTGTTAATAGGTAAGGCACACCCCAAGAATACAATTTCACCCCCATTACTTTGTGACAGAGAATCTCTCAGGATTTGCAGGAAAACAAAATCCAGATCAAACACAGGAAACAGAAGAGGGGAATAATACGTAACTTACCTTTTTAAACATAACTAATGAGATAACAGCAGATGCTGTGAAAAGTGCAGCTATGATTATCATCATAATGCCAACAGGAATACTCTTATTCAGACCAGTAAGAGATGAAATCCACCCACTGAAGAAAAAAAAGAAAGGACAAACTTTACTAGTACAGCACATGAACCACTCAGCCACAGGTGTCCACATCAAGGGAAGCTTTATAACCTCCTGGTTCTGATCAACTTTGAATATTTGTGAAGTCATGGGGATTTTAGTTCTGTATTTCAGTTCTGTAATATGCTTTTAAGGCTTAGTTTCCATTTTTCCCAACTACATGAAAAATTATAGTAAACATGATTATCCTTGAGCAGAATTACAAAGAAACTAAGAGCCGTTCATCAACATTTTAGTGATTTTTTTGTCATACCATCATTTCACTGATTTAAGACTACAAGATTTTGTGGAAGTGAAAATGTCCCTAAAAAGATAGCTTCTAAGTTCTTTAACATGAAACAAAAACATGTCACACAGAGCTTCTATGTGGGAAGACTCATTTAATTGTACCCGCACAGCGATGCTCTCTCAATTGAGGTTAATATGATAATTTTCTGAAGTAGATAGAAGTGTCTTAACAATAGAAAGGATTCCTCTATCAGTATCTACTTCAAACATTTCCTCATTCTTCAAAATTGAAACCCCAACAGAAAAAATACAGTATCAAACTTGAAACCCCAACAAGCAAGCTGTCTTGAGAAAAATAAAACATTAATATGGAAAAGATACTTACACACACATACAAACAAAAAGAAATAAAAAAGACGAATTTCTGTAAACTCAAATAACCTTAAAACTTCCCTTTACCTGTTTGAAACTGCTTTGATATCCCCTATGTCCAACTGGTCTCTACCACAAAACTCCAAATCGAACTGCAGCTAGCATTTTTTGATGATATAGCTACTTTCCATTCCCCTTCCCCAAGTATCCTTAAAAACACACTCCAAATACATGGAGAGCTGGTCCTCTAAAATGCTTTCTTGTTTTGTTAATGTCAATCAATGCATCCATAAAAAAATAGCGGATTTGAGAGCAAAAATAATAAATCAGTATCTTTCCTTACAGTACAGTTCTAAAGCAATGCTTTTTTTCTGCCTTATGTATGTTCGGAGGTTAGCAGAGAAGTATTACCCTGTGACACTACTGCCAGTCATAGCTTTCCATGCTACCAGCTGGCTACTACAACTATGCTTTTAGTTAATTCAAGTGTTGTTTCATTGTTTTTCCCACCCCCAAGGACTGTGACCAATTCCCAACAGCTATTCCTTGTAAGATCTAAATAGCAGACCTTGAAGACTCATACAAAGATATATAGATATAGATAGGTAATACATATAAAGTCTTCATGTTAAAGCTTATACACTTACAAGCACCAAGAAGAAAAATAAACTATTTCAGAATAAGGAGCTGACTCAAACAAATAAGCTTTTCAGTAACTATCAAAGATATACCACTGCATTCACCCAGGTACGCTGTTTCTCATTCTTCAAATTTTAGCAACAAATTTCCTTAGTATATAGTAAGTATATTAATATAACTAGAAATATTTAAAGATACAAAATAATGATATGCAAACAGTATACTCTCCAAATTATTTTAATTTTCTAAGTTTTGCTTATGTTTTTATCTTTAATACAGAGTAGTAGTATCTCCACACACCACCAAAATAGGGGAAGAAATACATAAATGTATTACATTGAAGGATAAAATTTTGACCAGCCTAATAACAGAAGTACCTCACTCACTTAGAATACATTTCATCCACTTTTTCTAGTTAAGAAAACTCCAAAAATGCCTTTTGTGAGTGCTAAATGTAGCAAGTCCAGTAAGCACAAGATTTAAAAAACAAAAAAACAAAAAAACAACCCAACCAACCCACAGAGACTCTGCTGCAGTTGCTGTATCAGATTTGTTTGTCTTATAGGCAGTACAACAATTCAACAGAATACTCACCAGTTTCCCCATCTTTGAAATCCTGCAGCTTGAAGTACATGTACAGCAAACTGACAGATATATACAAAGAAGAACACAAAGAACCTGAATGAACTGTCACTCCTGAAAGAGGAGGGGGGGGGAAAGATTAAACCAGACAGTAAATTAATGACCTTTTGCAAATACTGTCGTACAACTCTAAAATTTTCTTCTGTATTAACTACAGGAAAAGTGCTTTCATTTATTGGCAGTGGCTTCAAGTACGAGTAATTCTGTGGTTTTGTAGAGTGTTTATTTACAAGACATACTCCTTTAAGATAGTCATTTTGCCATCTGCACCTCTAACAGAGATGAGAATAGCAGCAAGATACTATTCCTTAGTGTTCTGTCCAGCACACAGGAGAGCCTCTTGTACTAGCTATAGACATTTTGCTACAGTGCATGAAGAACAGAATTCTTCTCCACTTCTGAACCAAAGTTCACAGTGCTGGCAGGATGAGAAGAAAACATTTTTCTTGTAAAAGGAAATTAAATCTAATATGGAATATGGAATTACTGCAACATAGTGCAGACCAGAATACTGACACAGCAGCTGCTTAAAAGCAAAATATACAAAATAGGTTTGCTGTTAGAATTATCAGAAGTCCAGCCTGACAAAGACTGGAAGTAAACATACGTGTACATGGACATGTGTGTACAGGCAAAATGTCAAGACTTCAACTTATTACTATCAAAACTAATGATATACTTGCTACTAGAATTCTAAGAAATCACTCAGTTAAGTCACAGAATCAAGTTTTGCCATTAACAGCTCTTCCTGTTAATTTCTATTTATTCAACCAGTTCATAACTATTTCAATTTTCATCTGAGTAACTGACTGAAGTTGAATATGCAAGTTACTGTTTTCCTTTTCCCAACAATGAATATTCACTAAGAAAAGCTATGTATTTACTAGAGAGCAAATGCAAGTTAAACTATATGACTCCTCAAAGATGTATGGGTACCTCCTGGGTTAGCAAAAAGAAACATCTCATTTAGTCTCAAGGTCACACTTAACTTCAGTTTCTGGCCATCAATCTTTCTTTACAAGAATAAGTGCATTTTAACTGAGGATATCCTGAATCAGTTCGATGTGGGAAAAAAAAAAAAAAATCCAAAAGAAATATAAGAGTATAGGATTTAGAATCTCTACATGCTTATATTCACCAAAGAAAAAAAAAAGGAAAAAAGAAAAAAGTTTAATTTTGCATGCAAACCCACCATTCTTTTCTTAAACATAAAGCTACAAAACCTCACGCTTGTGAAGCCTGTAAAGACTGCTAAAAGCTAGAAAAAATTAGTATTAGTAGTATGATTATACCTGCTCTACTCGTTCTTAGGAATCTCAGTCCTCTTCAGTTAGACACTGTAGGTCACTTAATGTGAGATTTTTAAGTGTAAAGTTTTATGAAATTTGCTCAGGAAGCCAAAAATTAACGACCCTCTTAACTATTAACCTAGTCAAATTCTTGGTGTGAAGTGGTAAGAGATTTAATGAGAATTTTCCTTAAAAATGTTATCACCCCAATACAAAGTTAAATATTTCCTACAAATATTTTGTTAATGGCAGAAGCTATAAATACTTTAACAGATATTCCCTTATATACTTACTATTGCCATGTATGTTTCAAATAGAACAACTGAATTAATGGCAAACACATTAATATGCTTTCATTAGAAGCAAGTAAAGTATTATCATAATGATCATCAATCAAATTCTGGAATGCTAATGCATGTTGACAAGTTTTTAAGTACTCCAAGTCAAGCTAAAGTTGTTACCTGAAAGCTCCATAAAGCGGTCTGTACCAGCAGACAAAAGAACAAGGGGTAAAAAGCAAGAACCAGAGAATACTCAATCCAAAATCAACTCCTCGTGTAGAATCAACATAAAACCAGGCCAAACATCCGAAGATATTAAGAAACAGTGTCACTGTATGGACTGTAGAAGCAAAAGCAAATTAATCTTAATTTAGTTATGTTTATACAATAAACTTTTGCAACTGTTAAAGCAATACCTAAACTGAGCTTTTTTAAACAAATCATCATCAGATTTAAACAATAAATCTATCCCCTCTCAATACCCCCATCAATAAGCTGACTTTTATATAGTTTTGTAACTTTCAGGTAAACCCTGTATTCACAAGTGAAAGCACTGAACATGAAAATTCAAGTATTAAGAGGTATATGGTGAAGGAAAAAATCATGTCATAAAAATAAAACATTTTCAGACTCAAAATTAACACAGCTGCAGCAATTGATACTTTTTCTACAGCAATAACAGGATACAGATATTTAACAGACTACTGAATATTTTTGAGAGAAAGCTTATAAATTGTATAAAATGCATCACGTATTTACCACTGCATGCATTCTAATTTGAAAATAAAAATTAAAACCCAAAAATCTTTAAATGGAAAGCTTTTGTCTTCCATGTAATAAAGCAAAAATAAAACCCCACCCAGTAAAAGTGTTTCTCAGTTAAAAAAAAAATCTGCAAGACGCTGTCATAGATGCTTTCATACATATTGCATATTCAAATGCTTATTAATATCAGTATTGTCAGATGTCTTAAATATCTGCCATTTTGGTGCTCCATTCTTAGCTCAATACTAACATCTTCTCATTGGCAGACTTTGTTACAAGTTAACTACTGAATTTCTAAAAAAAAAAAAAATGCATTGGCATTACAACTTCACAGTTTACTTCCAATATATTTAGTTCTTAGATCAGAGAAAGATACAGTAGTATTAAGAAACATTACACCTACTACCTTCATGCTATCTGGCACAGAAGTTAGCTCTGCCCGACTTAAAAAACTGACATAAATTTGCTCAGCAATGACCAGCGGTTCAGCAGTGATTCTGCCACCTCAGAGGACATTTTCTGTCCTTGTGGACCACGATAAAGTATGAGTATGTATAACAAAGTGCACAAGCTGCTCCTTGCAGCAATGATTTTTTTATTTATATTCAGGGAAACATCTTATTCTACTAGAAGGTAAGGTTAACAGAAGAACTGGAAGATGATAAAGATTCTGAATGAAAGACTCCTCAAACTCTTTGCTGCCTTCTTAACTAGCACCTAAATAAGCCCTAAATCAACTTAAACAGGAAAACTCAAAGTAAAATGCCCACATCGTTGCATGAAAGGCTGATGAAACTCAAATCTTATTTTCCTCTAGAATCACCGGAAACATAAAACTGTACTTTTAAGTAAAAGGCATTTAATGCATCTACATATCTTAGCACTATTACACAAGGTCAGCAAAACCACTCTCTTTTCAGAACTTGTGTGTATGCCCCGTAAAGCACAACAAAGGATACAAATCCAATTCCTGCCTTCCTTTGATAAATATGAGAAGGCTTCCTAAGGGGTATTTTTTCATTTTCTAGTCAATACTGGAAAACAGGGAGGCCCCCTGAGATTACCAGAAACATCCACACTCTGGTAGAGTTTGAACTTTCCTAAATTACTGGGGTTTTTTTGTAATTGCAATTGTGGTAACAGGAGAAGCTTAAAAAAAACAACCATAATGCAGAAGAGGGTTGAAATGTCACACCTGCCATTGATACCTCTTAGCACAATAAAGCCAGCAACATAGGGGTCTACTTCACTTCTGTCACAGAGAATCTCAGCTATAAAAAAACAAGTATTAGCAAGCTGCATATGAAGACATGGGACTTCACTGACAATTCTCTCTGCGCTCCACTTGGCCGCCTTTCTGCCTGCTGCTAAGTACAGAAATGCCCTTGTTCTTTGAGCCAGCACCTTCACTAAGTGACCTAGAAAAGCTCTGCTGTTGTATGGACAGGTGTTTTTATGTTCAGGATAATGGTTTTAAGTACCTTCCACCTACCTGTATCATTAAACTATGACACAGGTTATTTTAAGACAACGACCACCTGGGGGCTGAAATGACCTAAGGCTTTGGCAGAAGTCTGCAACATGTGGTATCTATATGACAAAAACTTCACAGCTACACCAACACAGTACTTAGTGTGAAGTGACCTAAGAAATCCTTCTCCATGTTTAGCTTTGAAGCAGCTGAGGTTGAAAATGAGAAAAGGGCATTCATCATGCCAGAGTAAGAGTCAACAATGGCAAATTACATTATTTTAATACATACTGAGATTCAACTCCACTTTTATTAAACTTCCTTGTACAGAACAATTCTACTTAGATATACATCCCCTGTCTTAATTAACTACACTTTATTAAACATTAATGCTTGCGAGTTGCAGATAAAGACCATGTATGGTCTTTACATATATAGATGCTGTTCAGCATCTATGTTCTTGAGATTATTATTTTGCAGTCCCATTTGGTATTCTATGAAGATAGATTTCTGTTAATAAGTTTCATTTCAGTAATGTTTTACTGATCGTATTCCAGGGAAACTGAAGTCCTCACTATGACACATGACAAAAGAATGCACTTCTTCCCAGGAATCAGCTGGACTGTCGCTCTGTAATGGACTGCAGTAAGGCGAATGCGATGCCTACAAAATGAAGGGTTTTGAAGCCACAAGGCAACCAACAACTGCGGACAAAGCTGGTGAAGTCTGATTACATGCAACCTTGGAGCCCAGAATGCCTTCAAATGTAGCTCCTTGTCTATTGTGCTCTTTTTGGAGTTGGGGTGAGCAAAAAACGTGCAAACCAACCCTACAAAAAACGTATTTTTCATAAGAAAAAAAAAAAATTAAAAAACATTTGGCTTAGCTAAACCCATAACATAAACACATGCTATCAAAAATATGAAGGTGGTTTTTCTTCTCTACACATTAGGACTTCAGCTAAAATACTGTACAATATCCACATTTCTTGATGCTACACACTAAAAAATCCATAATAATAGGGAATGAATCTCTAAGACATCAACCAAGCAATCAGACCTCTAGAAAACATAACCTACAAAGAAACGCTGAGTAAACTACACTAATTTAGCCAAAAGGAGATGACTAATGAGGATGCATGCATTCTCCATAACAACAGTGGACACCACAGGGAAGATCAAACACAGAAAGGAGAATTAAAAGCTGTTTCCCAGTATGTAATTTAACAATAAAAGACAGCAACACACTAGAACTGGCTTGGAGGGAAAGTGTCCATCCTTGGAAGTTCTCAAGAACAGGCAGAACAAACATCAGCACAGATTGATACATGTGCTATTGATCGTACCCTCAGTCAGAAGGATAGATGAGATGAAGGTGTCCTAAACAGAAAAAAAATACCATAAAAGTTGGCATTTTATGGTATTGGTTTTCTACCAGAATCCACAATTTTACTTCACTGTTTTTTGAAAACTTTTTTAAAGTTTTTCTCATAGAAAATCGAAACATTCATAACCTATATAAAGTCACAAACCCAAATACCACAAAGCTTCCATGAGATTAAGCAGCTCTTCAGCTTGTAACTTCAAATAAGAAATACTCTTCAAGAACCAGTACTGCTCATTTTATACACACTATCAACCTGCAGGCAAAGTAGCTAGAAAACACAAGCTTTTGAGGAAAAAAAAATGTGGTGTTAGATACAGGTCAAGAGACACTATTAACAGCACAGGAACATCTAAAAAGTAGTGCTCAGTGCTAAAAAGCCACAAAACCATTCTATTTGAAAGTCACTTAAACAGCAAGGGTAACCAAAGATAGAATGGAAAAGCTCCATAGCAGCTGAAAAAATCCATTGCTAATTGATTGCTCCAGTTTACAAATTCAACATGAGATCACTCAGCCAGTAAAATGAAAAAAAAAAATAAAAATTCTCCCAGGGGAACAAACAACAATGTTGAAGTGTAAAGATAAAACTACATCAAGGAATCAGAAAACTCTGATTTCTATACAAGATGGATGAACTCATGGAATACTGACACATAAATTGTTTTCTCATGAGATGAAGAGCATATGGAACTGAAACGGGCAAAAAAGTTTCCTCAGAGACACACAGACCAGTAATAAAAATACAAAAATCGCTGCTAATATGAAAACACACAGAATACTGAAACAGAGAGGTTTGCTCCTGTGATTGCTAAAAAGAAAGAGGAAAACTAACCTACTTTACAAAGTGCTGAGCACTTAGTACTAGATTTACGCAAATGCGTTTATGTTCACAGAACCCACAGGCTTTACAAGACTTATGAAGTTCTGGGGAAGGAAACAAAATACAGGACAGAGCAGCAAGCAGAAACAGGCTGGTAGTTAAGTGCCTCCACTGAGGAAGCATAGCCACTCTAATGAAAAATGAGGCAAACCAAATAGGTACAATCCTGGAAAAGTTAACTCACAAGGACTGATTTAACAGCCAGCCCTAACGCATGGAATCCTGTGTTGAACTATTTTTTTAGCCTGAAGATTTTGCCTCTTCCTTCATTATGCCCTTCTCCTTCATTCCTGAGTAATCCCCAAGTCAGAGAGTAGTAGAGCTAAAGAATTAAAAGACTAAGAGGACTCAGTTAAAAAACTCAGGCTACCTAGAAGAAATTGTGTCACATTATTGTAAAAGCACAACTCCTACATATTTTGAAATATAATGTTGCTGCTTCCTCTATTTATTGCCATAAGAAAGAGAAATAAAACCAGTATCAGTATTCCAATTCTCACCGCCCAACTTCACCTTGTATTTGAAACATACAGCACTTTCAGAACTCAGTCCTGAAAATGACCAGAATTCATAACTATCCTAAAATTCTGAAGTATCTGATCGTAGATTTCATGTAAGTCTGCCATGTCTGTCAGATTTATAAGAGTGACTAGTCATATACTCTACAGTGGATTTAGTTGCTTATTTCAAGATTAATGACCCAGCAATGAATATAGACAGCTGATTATGATGAAGTGGAATTAACTTGATTCGGTGCTGACTGCTCATTTATGTGTATCAATTATGTGGTTCAATCACAGTAATAAGATTACCAGATTCCCAGATAAATTTATGGAAATTTAACTAAATCTGAAAACTTAAAAAAAATACAGAAAAGCTCTTACATTCATATTCCCTTAGCACTATAACAATATATTAAACACATCAAAGCACCTAAATCTTTGGTATTTCCTCATTCTCAGAGTAATTATTACGCTCTCATCACAGTGGACAAGGCAAAAAAAACAAATATTGTGGCATTTGTATGTTTGGTTCATGCAGCATCTCCCCAGTCAAAACACAGCACCTGAATGAGGACAAAATTAACCGCAAAAAGATGATGTAGAGCATTCTTGGTGTACAAAGGATAGTTTTAACATGGACTGATTCCTCAGCTGATTTATTTTGCACTATTTTTTTTAAACAGACTAAAATGATATTAAGTGTCCAATACAGACTAAAAACTATATTAAAGGATACACAACTATGTATATTAAAGCAAAGGGATATTACAATCCTTAAAGTCACAAGTCTGTTAAAACTGATAGTGAATTATATTTCTTAATATATAAGCTGATTTTAAAAACTTAGAATTGTTAAAATAAGTAGAATTATTTCAAAGCTAATAAATGGTCAAAGCTCATTTTACAATAACAGAGATAGTTAGAAAATTGCAATATACTGGAACCAAAATGCCTTAGGATAATCTCCTCCTTTTTTTCTGTGGAACTTTCTATGAAATAATTCAATACTTGTAAAACTGAAACTAACAAAAATACTTTATTTCAACATTTAACTTCTGAATTTAAAATAACTTCTCACTACAGATGTTACAAAAGCCAATGCAGCAGGCATGTATCATCAAGTTTGAATAGGCACTTTTGGTTTTCTGAAAAATAAAAAAAATAAAAAAAATTAGAAAATACTTACACATCCACAAATAGTACATAACCTTTACCGTCTTCTGGAATTCTACAGGAATGTCTACAGAAAAGTCCTGGTAGAAACAAGGACCTACTGGAAAATTCTCAGGAAGAGGGGGCCAGTTATTTTTTCTACCTGCAAAACAGAAAAAAACCCTGAAGAGTCTTATAATACAATTTTAATTTTTGTATACTAGAGATACACATTTGAACTTGTTCAAATTGTTTCATGCACAAGTTCACAAGCATTTAGATAACTGGGCTACCAAAACCCTCCATGTCTCAATACACATTTCCCTCCAGTTCCAAAATACACACAATTCTTTGTTGAATACAAAGACTGGGGACTGAAAAGTGTTCTTCGTTCTCAGAATCTTTGTATTTTTAACAACAGGCTCTTTAGAATCATGGACCAGTTTAGGTTGGAAAGGGCCTTAAGATCATCAAGTTCCAACCCCCCTGCCATGGACAGGGACACCTTGCACTAAACCATGTCACTCAAGACTCCATCCAACCTGGCCTTTAACACTGCCAGGGATGGAGCATTCACAACTTCCTTGGGCAACCCATTTCAGTGTCTCACCACCCTCACAGTAAAGAACTTCTTACTCATATCTAACCTAAAATTCCCTTGTTTATGTTTGGACCCATTACCTCTTGTCCTATCACTACAGTCCCCTTCTAACACTTCGAACTAGGTCTCAATATAGCTTACAGTCAAAACTTTATCTAAAAGCCCAAAAGCCTCAAGAAAGGCAGCTACTGAAATGGTCTAAACTACTCTTCATTTCAAGAAGATGCCCTACAGCATCACTGTATTTATTACAACTGTATACAGTTGTGTGACAGAGTAAGGACACCATAAAGGACGTGGTATCAGACACTTGAATATCCTGTATGCTGATCTGTTCACAGGCTAGAGTATGCACTCTGCCAAATAGAAGCAGATTCAGAGATTCAACTGAGATAAATGCAACATACCTTTACCCCAGCATTTCAAATTCTGCATGCAAGAAATACATTAATCACCATGTTCAAAAAGTGGAGCCGAACTAGAGACTAACCTAAAGGCTAACCTTTGCAAGAAATTCTGACAAGTTTTGCTTGCAACTGCTATGTTCAAACTTATCTTTATTAGCAGTTCATCTGATAAGAATGGAAAACTTGCAAAGCTCACATATGTTTTGTTTCCCCATTCAGACAAGATGAAGCTGGTAGTTCTGTCCAAACAGGTCCAAAGTACTACGTATCTGTTAACTTTTCTGCCTCTTCTACTGAAATTTTTACTAGGCTTTTCAGAGCAGGGGACTGGGACAGGGAGCATACTGAGAGTAACCAAGTAATATTCCCATTCATATTACAAACTATTTTGGGATTTCTTATGCAAAAAATACCTGATAATAATTCAGATTTTCATTCCCACAGTATATGGTTCTTTCTGTCAGCACTAATAGTTCATAGACAGAGTTATGGAAAAATTCAGGTATCATGTAATAATTCAAGATGTTATTTAAGAATTTTATTTTAAGTGCTTTCCCACTGCTGTGGCACAGTTTTCAAAATTTTCAACTAAGACAGCTTGGTGAGACAGTCTGAGATCAAAAACCATGAGATTTTTTTCTAAATGCGTTCTGGATATTCATATTTAAAGATTGCACCTTGATGAGCAAAAAGCTAGCTCAGAATTATTTTACTCAACACACATTACCACCAGAAGGCGTATTAACATAACTTTAATGGCATGTCTACACTATATATGCAGACAGCCCCACACAAGCTTTGTGCAAGCCCCGAAAGGGATTTTCAGGCACGCCCAAATGAACTGGCTGAATTAGGTAGCAGCACCCCTTAACTAGCTCAAATGCAATGCTGCACAGGACCTCAGCAGAAATATCAAAGGCTGAGCTGACCTATCAGCCTGAAGATCTTTGCGCTGTAGTTAGTTATGCATGACAGTTTCCTAGATGGCAGCCAGTATCTTAAATTGAATGCAAATAGCTAGAGTATTGCAGAAGACCTTGTCCTCCAATCAAGACAACTCTAAAGTGTTTTTCTTCTCAGTTGCAATAGATGATTCCTGATTTGCAGAATCTTTTACACAGTCATTTGGTAAAAAAAATAGCATCTTCTTTAATACTTTAAAATCCCTCTTTTTTCTGCTCAGCCTTCCTAAAGAATCCTTTAAGATTCTTCATGGACTCTTCAAGCATTTTGATGTGAACAACTGCAACCTAATATTACTCATTTTAGAAATGACCTGAAACATGCATCGGGTAACATGTATCTCCAAGATACAGATGAACAAAACTGTCCCTAAAGCCAGGAAGAGAAAAGCAATCAATCCAGACCATCATTGTAAGTTAGTGAAATTATATGAAAGGCAATAGATGGAGAAGGAAATAAGGAAGAAAAAAAAACCCCACAACAAAAATATCCACTATCTGGGAGAAGAGGTACAGAGATTTAATAGAGATACTGGAAAGAACAAATATGAATAAAATAAAAATGTCTTAATGAAGAAACAAAATCACTGTGATTCTTTTCCTCAGAAGAAGAATAGCAATTTCCCACTCCCAGATCCTAGGAAATGACTGGCATATATGACTGCTCTCTACAGCTTCCTGAGGAGGGGAAGTGGTGCTGAGGAGGGGAAGAGGTGCTGAGCTCTTCTCCCAGGTATCCAGTGATACGATACATGAAAATGGTTAAATGCTGCACTATGGGAGGTTTAGATGGAACACTGAGAAGCATTTCTTTACTGAGAGGGTGGTCAAACCCTTGAACAGGCTTCCTAAAGAGGTGGTCAATGACCCAAGCCTGCTGGTGTTTAAGTGGCATTTGGACAATGCCCTTAATAACATGCTGTAACTTTTGGTCAGCCTTGAAGTGGTCAGGCAGATGGGCTAGATGATCACTGTAGGCCCCTTCCAACTGAAACACTCTACTTATAAAATTCACAAGACTTTGAATTACTAAGCAATTATGTTATCTGGAATTGCACCAATGCATTTTTAAAAAAACACCAGCACACGTGGAAATAAAACAGTCAGTATTCTAGATACAAGTGAAAAGACCACACAAAGTCAACCTTGCACACAGTGTTATGTTTTAGCTTTTTTCCTAGCTTTAGACTGAAGTTCTTCCTTTTGAAAAGAAATATTCCCACATATCTACTTTTAGCAAAGTATCTTCAGTTAAGGAGATGTAAATCTTCTCATTTGCGAAACTGCTGTACAAAATCTGATGGTTTTGTGCAGCAGACAATTTGCAGCAAAGTGAGATTAACCATCTTGACTACAGGTTCCAAAGTGTCTTGAAAAATAGAAAATTAATAATAGATCTTTCTGCTATTTGCACAGTCTGTAACATAGCAAGAGATGATAAAAAGAAAATGTTTTAAAACAGGTAAGTTCTCCTACATCTATAAATACTTAAAGAAATAAAAGATTTTCCTTACGAAGTTACTTTTACTACTTCTCTAAATGCTCTATTTCTATTTAATTGTATACTTAGATATTAACCTAGAATAAAAATAGCTGATAGCAAGAGAGTAACACCTTAAGGCCAAACTTAAAATTTTAACAGTGAAAATCTACACATGACAGGACAGGTTTTATTCACTGTATGCACTGTCTCAAGGGAGATAAAACTTTCTTTGCCTGAAAAGATTATAAACCCTTCTCTTTGACCTGTTTCAAAATGTCCCTGTAATATTAAAATAGTTTCTAAGAAAATGTTAAATATCTGCAATTTAAAGATGTATTTTTTTCATGCATACCCCCCTGCTGATTGAGACTCTGCATTTCTCTTTCTCTGCGATCTAATTCAGCTGCTTTTCTTTCCAGTTCTTCTTGACGCTTTAGCAGCTCTGCCTGGGCCAAAGCATGCTCCTGAACAAAACAAGCATTGTTAGATATAGATTCAAAATACAAATACAAAATAAAATTTCCAAGTCTGTTTTCTGTAATTAAGCATCTCCAGCTATGGATGAAAACTGGCCTAATATTGCACAAATTTATGCATTAACTGATTACTTAAAGGCAGTATTAATTTTCATAAATCATTAAGAATACCTTATTCCAGAAATAAATACATCATTTCACAAGTGTATTTAAATACTAAAATGGAACCTAGTGCCTGAAGTTGCAGACAAACCTTTGCGATTTGTGTGTAAGCAGGTGGCTCTTCTGTTGGTTTCATTATTGCTGGCTGGGTACTGGGTACATTAGGCAATTTCACATTTCCTGGAGGAGGCTAAAAAAACAAGAGACAACTATAAGGAGACAGTTTCCAAGTCTAATAAGCATCTTTTAACACTGTAAGAACCAATATAACTGCTTTAAAGGAAGCATTACTGACAAACTGAAAATCTAGTGTGCTGTCTGCAATATTATAACCTTTAGGAAAAAGAAGATAACCGTATTCTCTGGTGCAGTGTTCTACTTACTTGGTTTTACACCGCACGACTTGCTATAAACACACATGGAATCTTACGGATCAGTAGAAAGCAAACAGAATTTTGACTCTGTTCAGATGTGAATATGAAAGGGCAGTTACTGTTTAAGGGAACTGCAGGATTTAACAGTGATTTATTCATATTCTGAAACATGATGCCATTTATTAGTAATGTCTTCCAGAGTTTTCTACTAGTGTCTTCCAGGGCTTTCTACTTAACAAAGGCATATATCACCTAGCTAACTAGAGAAACAATGTACCATATTAAATGTTCCAATTCAAGATCCACAATCTACTGCTCAACTACTCTGCCAGCATGTACCCTCATATTCAGTTTCAAGTACCACTGGCAATTCATTCACTTTGTTACCACCTATAAGAACACAGCTTACAAGAAGCTTTTAGTAGCTTGGGTTCTTCCTCTTTCGCCCTTTTTAAAATTCTCTTATTCCCATCCCTTATTGTCATCATCTCTGACTTTCGCCGTATCTATCATACACAATGCTAACCAGAAGCTACTAACCAAGGGAAAAAATATTACCTGGATTAAAGTTATCAACTGAATTTTACCAAAGCAGATCTGTACAGCACTACTATGATGTTATTTTATTCTTAAATACATTTGGGGAAACTACAATTCTTTCTCTGTGTAGAACTTGCAACATGCAAGACTTTCCCACTCTGTGATTTTTTAAGGCAGAGACATTTTTTCCCAGTAAGACTGAAATTAAGAACAAAATTACAGTGAGAAGTGTGATGTTCTCAATACTAAAACACCTTAAAACAAAGCAGGAGTAACTAAATGGCACTCACTTGGAAAATTATGACTTGGTGCAGGTTATCTGCACATTTTCTAATCATCTGTTGAAATTCATGAATGCAGTACACTGAGGAGAAAACCCGTGCTTGAGTAAACTCCATCTCTGTGTGCGATACTGCAGTACATCTCAGCAACATCGGCTGATTCCAGCATTTCTAAATTCTCTTTCCACTTGATACATCAGTTCATAACACAATACTGAGACAAAAGAGAGATCTCATTTCTCAAACGCCTGATGATTTAAGTTTTTCATCCTAAGAAAGATTACTTGGTACTATGGAATGAAGACAACTGAAGGTTAAATGCCAAGTCCTGCTCTTGGGTTACCACAAACTCATTGCAACATTACAGGCCTGGGGAAGAGTGGACAGAAAAGGACCTCTGTGTATTGGTCAACAGCCAGTTGAACATGAGCCAGCTTATGCCCAGGTGGCCAAGAATGCCAATAGCATCCTGGTCAGTATCAGCAGTAGTGTGGCCAGCAGGGCCAGTGCAGCAATCATCCCCCTGTACTCAGCACAGTGAAGCTGCACCTCAAATCCTGAGTTCAGTTCTGGGCCCCTCAGAACAAGACAGACATTGAGGAGCTTGTGAAGGGCCTGGAGCACAAGTCTGATGAGGAATGGCTGAGGGAAAATGTGATGGCTTAGCATGGAGAAAAGGAGGCTCAGAAGGGACCTTATCATGCTCTACAACTACTTCAGAGGAAGTTGCAGCAGGGCGGGGGTCAGTCTCTTTTCTTAAGTGACAGGGACAGAGGAGTTATGCCAGGGGAAGTTTTGATTGGTTGTTAGGAAAAATTTCTTCACCAAAAGGGTGGTCAAGCACTGAAACAGGCTGCGCAGGGAAGAAGTTAAGTCACCACTCCTGAGGTATTTAAAAGACCTGTAGATGTGGCACTCAGGAACATGATTTAGCGGTGGACTTGACACTGCTAGGTTAACCGTTAAGTGGACTTCATAATTCTTAAGGTCTTTTCAACCTAAATGATTCTATGACTCTCTGAAGCTGGTTAAAGGCAGTTAATAAAGACAATTAATTCCTTATGTTGGGGTATACTGTGGTAATGAAAAAGCCCTGTACAAGAACTCCTACAAAAACTAGACAATCATCTTCTACTTCAAACATAAGACAGAAAACCTGCACCACAATAACAAACAGCTACTGAATAAAAACTAATGCATTATGCATTGTAGGCCACAGCAATGCTAAAAAAAAGCCAAAAAGAAAAGAAAAAAAAAGGCAACAATAGCTTTGAAAGCATAACTGATAAGCAGTTGCCTGCCAGACTAATAACCAGGACTGTTCATAGTTTCCCACAAGTACTAGAGCAACCCTCCATAATACTGTAAAAAAATAGTAATACTACCTGTAATAGTGTAAAAAGGTGGATTATCAGACTAGAAAATATCTGAACAGTGAATTCAAAGTATATTTGAAAGATGCTTTTTCTGAACAGCCTACAGTGCTGATAATGACTGATACATGTATATATGCATATGAACAAAGAAAACAGAAAGCTCACGAGCTACAGAAATGAAGATGTCAACCAACAGCACACATGACATTAATATAAGGTACTAATTATGTACAAGATTCTTCTGATTCAGATTTCTACATTATGTTCCATTATATGCTAACTGATCATCTATATGGTGTTAAGACTTGCTGTCTATTGTGCACATAATGACAGTTGTGTAAAAGACCTGCTGCCTACACAGAATCCTGTGCCCCTGGAAGAATTTGTAGCAGAGGCTGTGAATTCTGGAATCCTAAGAAAGAGGGGCTGGGGGATAAAAGCTGTTAAGGGATATTACAAAGCCTACCACTTCTGGGATGCTCTGAGACCTGGGGACTCCTCCCTTCTGACTGCTGGAGTCCAGTCCAGCTCTCCTGAGAGTCTTTGAAGGCTATCCATTTCAGGTTGCTGAAGACAGCTATAGCTTTCCTGCTTCCAGGTTCAGCTAGTAGCATGTTTAGTGTGTATCCCAGGGATGCACACAAATAAACACACACCTGCACACACAAGGGCACTAGAATGGCCAGCTACAAAAGCTGCCACAGACTGGGCATTGCCTTTAACAACATCCCAACGTAAAACTATCAGATTTACACAGAACATAGATACACAGAGTCATACCCCAGTGCTCCTTTCCAGTGAGTGTGAGAGCTGTCACTTCTCCTTCCTCTGTTATGAAGCCAGCTGAGATACGTTCCAGTTCATGCTTTCATAATTTTCCATCTTACTTTTCTTAACACTCAGCCGACTACCTATTTCTATCAAGAAGCCAGGTGTGGATGATCAATCTGGTTTCTTATAAACACTTCACTGTGTTTGGATGCAAGACAGAAAGAGAGGAGCTACCCAGGAATTTAATAGGAAAAAAGAAAAAAAAAAAACCACCAAAAAACATTCAAATGTCTCTTAAAACCACCTCAACTCTACTAATATTTTTTCCAAATTTTTAATGCAGCAATTTGAAAATGACTGCTATATGCATTATTGTGTCTATTCATGTTACACATATATATACAGTGCTCGAAGGAGTTCAACATGCATTAGCAAAACTTGCAGAACCAGGGAGAAAGTAAAAGCCTTCTTTAAATGTATTTTCATTAAATGATGAAGCAGAAATACTAATTGTCTAATCTCATCTGTTCCTTCGTAATTTCAGAAACATGAAAAAAGATGCAAAGTAATCTCCATGACGACTGTTAGAGCTGGAAACCACTGAAGATGCAGGCAGTGGTATTTTATCTAACATTTATACCAAGAATACTCCTCATTTCTCTTGTTAGATGTCAAGGTCGTAATGCTTGACACCTATTATCTTCTACATCCATTCACTTTCCCCATTAAGTCTTACATGTTATTTTCCTATCAAATTTCCCAGTGCAGATGTGAAGGATATAATTTGACTGATAGAAGGTGAATACACCGAAATATTTTCTCAGTACTCAAATAAGGAGTACTGAGAAAAAGTAGAATTAATTTGTTTTTTCCCCCTGTCCTATCTAACCAAGAACTGGTAGGAAGCATCTCCCTTGGCAGAAGTAAAACACAACTAAGCTAAAATAACAAATGTCAGTGTTTAGAGTTTGAAGTCACTTTCTCAAAGAAGAAATACTTTTGCAGTCCAGCATGCTTTAGCAACTTGAATTTGAAAGGAAGGCAGAAAGGTTATTGCTACATTAATGCTATAGAATGCAACGTACCATCTTACCACTACCACTAGAAATTTGGATTTCCAATTAAAGCATACCATTCTCAGCTTTCTTAAGAACTACAACTACATATTATTACTCGTAGTGAAACAAATATAATTTTAAGTCTTACAGACCAGTAATTCTCAAACTAAACAGCATAAAAGTCTTCAGGACATATTTTGCTACCACCAGCTTGCATCCTTTCTGCTCATTCACACCACTGTGGTTTCCAAACATTTGAAGTGGGATTACCTGCACAAAATTGTTTGAGATGACTCAGCTTCCCAACAAATGTAGAAAAAGGAACAGCAGCAAATGAAAGCCCCCAGAAACTATTTGGATGCTTTTGCTCTGAGCAAGACACAAAATGCAGAGTAATTTCTATCCCTACACTGACAGACATTGCAATCCTCCAAGTCTAAAATTCACAGACCCTGTTTCTATCTGTTTATCCAGTCCTTAAAGGCATTCACTTCCACTGTCTCTTCCCTTAGTCCTGTCACATACATTTATTTCTACGTGCATAGTATGCCCTTCTCTTGCACACAAAGCTGCTAGGAAAAGACAGCAGATTACACGGAATTGTGAGCATATCCTCAGGTACCTCAGGCACATTGCTGCAAATACATATAATTACAGAATAAATACTCACATATTCAGCATCCACAAGAAACAGAGGAAGAGTATCATCTAACGGTTAGATGACTACTGCACTCTTAGCTGAACATATACTTTACTCTTTCAGGCTTGTCTTCTGCAGGAAAACCTGTGGAAGCTCTTTTCCTCTACAGACAACTCATTCAGTAGACAGTTTTTATTAATTCAGTAACCTCTCATAGATTATTAATTGAATCACAGTGCATGAATATAGCACATATGCAGTAGATTTGAACACCGACACAAAAGACCTTCCCCATCTTCCCAACTTTTCTATACGAGTGACATCTGTAATGAGCAATTAAAGTGTTTTATACACGCACAGCTGATTGTTCAAAGCCAGTACTCAATTTTCCTCTTTCCACTGAGCTGCATGTTAAAATAAGTGCACAAGTAATTAAAAAATGTCAGAGTAGCTCTAGAATGTTGTGTTGAACCAGACCTACTGTCTTTCTAACTTAGGTTAATACAAAGCATTTTTTAAACTCTTCAAGCTTCAGAAAGATAATTTCTGATATTGTGAGTTCGAAGAAAAAAAAATTTGAAGGCTTATTTAATACTCTTGCTAGTTGAAAATACTCTGCCTTAAACATCTAATCCACGACTCATCAAAACCAAGCTTGTTCCAGTGTAGCTCTACACCTGCTGCCCCAACCTCACCTTTGTTTCCTGTGATCCTGCTTAAGTGATAACCTTCAGTGGCAGTCTAACGGATGCTTCTGCTTGTGACAGCTACATAACTCAAATTGGATTTGGGGGAGAGAGAACACAATAGCCAAGGGCTAATTTAAGCGGTGCAGCCACCTAACCACAGTGCTGGTTCAGGTCCAGCTCAAATTTGGAAGAAACTAACTTCAATAGTTGGCATGCAAACGTGTATGAATCAATTAGCTCACTCCATAAATAGTGGACAGCCCAGGGCATGTTGAGCCTTCCTGCGTGGCGGCTGACTGCAGGCCAGTATCTCCCTTTGAGCAGAGACACATCAAGGTTACTCCTCTGGGTTGAGAGATTCCTTGCTGCAACAGATTTGTGCTGAGTAATTAACAACACGCTAAACTTTGAAATCTTAGCTAAGTGATATTAAGGATTGACTGTGCATATATAATCCTTTAAATATAAATCGCTGATGACGTCTGGGACTAAGTCTGGATGCATCTGCACCTAAACGCTCCTCCGGAAGAAATACAGAAAGCAAGAGGGTCCCTTCTGAACTCAGGACTCAACAGAAGGGACTCCCTGATAGTTCTGTCTAATCCTAACCTCTATGCAGTAAATAATCACATTTACCTTGCTATTGTATTTTGTGAAACCACTGTCACATTTACTATCAAATTGTTAAATTGCTGTTTTATAAACACACTGCTGCTTCTCTCTTTAGACTGAAGCGTGCCATGCCATCTGTGACAATTGCAAAGGTTCAAGTACCAACATTTCCTACCAGCTCTATCAGATTTGCCATAGGAAATAAGCCTACATTTGAAAAAACTGTATTTGAATGTTTACAAATTATACTAAAAGACACAAATCATCCATACACTTGCACAAGATCTTTACTAACAAAAGTAACCACTGAAAAATGCTGTTATACTCTATTCCCTATGTCCCTCCCACACCCTGCCCCCAAACCCCCTCTCCTGTGCATGAAAATAAGCACAAGGTAAACTAAATCTCTATAAATAAGAGCCAAAACCCAACTATGCTGCTTGAACATAAATTACTCCTTTTTCTACAGCACAACTGCACATAGCTTGTGGACTGTTATTTAAATGCAATTTTTTTTCTCATTCTGAACACCACCTTCTTTCATTAAGTGAAAAGGAAATCAAAAGCAAGACACTGAGGAGGTGTGCTACACTCACGAGCTTTAAAGCAAGAAGAATTCAGAAAAGCATAAGGACAGACTATCAGAAGTCTTACCCAACAGGGTAAAAAAAAAAGAAAAAAAAAATATCAGGCCTGTTTTGCTTCCCTTTCTGAGAGCCAGTGTTCCTTAACCAGTCAAAGCTCACTTAAATCAACTTAACCATTTAATCCTCCAAATATTTCATTCATGGGACTACCTATCCTTACACATCTTCCATCACCTCTACCTAGCCCATTACATGTTTCAAAATGTCAGTCCAAAACTCTGAAAACAATACTTCACAAATCTTACCTAAAAGTGTTAACAGCTTGATTAATAAATAAATGTGCTTACTGTTCTTGAATCAGAAAAAGGATTGTACTCATCTAGCCCTGGAGGAACATTTCTTGTCACTTGTGTAACGGAAGGATCCTAGAAAAGAAAACAGTTATGTAAATGTATGCACAGGTATATAAGCAACAAGTCAACACTTGCATCATTATATCATATAAAACTCAGCATTTGTTTCACCCTAAAAAAAGGTTTGTTTTCAGTGAAGAAGCCTGTAAACATCCACCTCTTTCTCTGTCTTCAAGATGACATCGGTTTATTCTAAGTTTCTTATAAACCTAGATTAATACCATCTGAAAGAAACTACCTGTGATGCATTTGATTTATAAGGAAAAAAGCTCTCAATAGAGAAGGGAAGAAAACTATCCTATGTTTACCACTGGACACCACAACTGTACATCCAAAAAGCACAACAGAAGAAAAGAGCTTTCTGTAGCTCTTGGTTTTCCCTGCCCAGAAAAACCTCCAACACCTTCATGCACAGGAAAAGCATTTCAGAAAAATGAAGTTGAGGAAACGGTGTCCCACAGCACCAAAAGGACCTATAGTTCAGCTTTTACTCAACTGGTAAAATGAAAATATTATAATTTTTTTCCTCCAGTGAACTATGCAGGCTGTTATGTTCAGTAAGAGCTGAAACACTCTGCCTTATCAGCAGCGTTTTGGTCACAAATCTGAAACAGAGCCACACGGACTGCTATATACAAAAAAAAAACCCACCATCCTTGCCAGACCCAGTACACTTATTCTAGCCTTTACATATTAATGTGAATTGGTAGTGTGCAAAATACTCCAATTTTTTGTTCATGCTTTCAGTGTCGTACCCCTTTCACAAATGCTGCCATATCATTCACTCTTCCACACAAAAATGCTCAAGTATAGACATACATGAAATTAGTGATAGCTAACCACGAGCCACTTAGTGGAACAACATGCCTACATTACTGAAACTCAAAATAGCACTCAAATAGCAGCTACTTTAAGTTAAATTAGCTCCTTTAAAAGTACATGTCAACAATAAACTTCTGTTTGTAGAGTGCTGTACTAACCAAATAACTCAGCTCAACTGTGTCCATGAAGGACTATAAACACTATAAATGCAATTATCTGAATAACCAGAATATCAGACTCACGGGACAGCCACTGAACAGCAGCAGATTTCCAAAAAGCAGGAAAGAGTGGTTAAGTCAAATTCAGAAGCGCAATCTTTATTTAGAAATACAATATGCAAACAACAGTAAATACCGCATGAAAGAAAGTTTTTTTTCTCTAAATGTTCTAGAGAAGAAGGAGAGGGGAGGGGCAGAAGGGGAGGGAAAGTTTCTCAGATCTCTTCACACAGCTATTGTAATATTCTAACACTGACAAATAACAGGAAACACATGCTGAGCCAAACAAGCTGACTACATCAAAAGTCTTAGTACTAGAAATAAGTTGTATGCTTAAATGCATACAGCAAGTAGAGTGAGAAACCCTCCAACAGAAGTCCATGAATTACAATTACTATACTTCTGCCAAATATTTCTATTGTTTGCCAAAGCTCCGGAAAGAAAAAAAAAACTACCCAAAAACGGAATGACTCAGAGTATATTCAGCACCAGTTCTATTTAAGAAAAAAAATCATTACCTAAAAAGCCCCAAACACTAAAACACACAAACTGAACCCCACCATGGCAAGTAGTATTCAAATTCTGCTCTAAGAAAACCTCAGTTGCACAGCCTGCACTTAACAGAAGCTCCTGGCCTGATTTCTTCCACGTTCAGAGAGACTCATGGAAAAGTAAATCAGAGATCACAAGAAAAGAAGCGTAATCTCATAGCTGAAGGAGGCAAGTATTAGTCTGGAGATAAGTATCTCTCTTATACTCACTCACTGTGATCTTCTCTAATGCTAGAACTATCCTCAGCATAGCAAGAAACAAGATCTTCACAGTCTGGGTACCCAGGAGGAGGTTGCTAGACTTCAAACTGTACTGAATACCTACCTACCCAGCATTGAACAACTGACACTTCGTGTTTCAAAACACTTCCTACAGTATTTCTGATGAGATTAGACCTGACATCCCAAGGAATACAAAGAATTACTTCGAATCACTTACCTTACACTGACTGCATCTCATTTTAAAAATAGGGCAAATGCCAACTAACCTAAATACAGTGAGGCAAAACTGTGCAGCACTCATACTCACTGCTGAATAATAAACCACTGAATTTAGAGTTAATCAGGGTCTGAATAATGAACACATACAATAAATGTTGTGCAGGACCACATACCCAGAGAAAAAGTGGCATTTAAATGAATGCTATCAAATTTTTATGTTGCATGACCAGGTATATTCTAGTGAGTAAAACTTTTAATATTCTACAAGAATAATTAAATCTAGGCTGGCATAACTTATTTTTCCATATTTGATATTCCACTTAGATAATAAAATTAAAATGCACTATTTTTCAGTTTGGGGATGCGGGGGGGGGGGGTGGGGGGGTGGGGGGGTGGGGGTGGGTAATATTAAGTAGCAGTAACCATCAAATATCCAGAGACCTCAACTTGCTGCATGATTTACGTGATTAAAAATCAGGTTATCCACTGCAAATAGTGAAGATTGGGAATTTCTGGGACATGCTTTAAATACTCTAAAGTCAGTCACCGAATGCAGCAACTGCAAAATGTCCAGTCCCCACTTCAGGAGGAGGAAAGCTATGTTCAAATTAGAGCTGCCCTTGCACTAACTCCTTGCCACAACTTGAGTTTCCTCAGCCACCTGGCCAGTTCCAGCTCTTGCTACTTCAAGTGCTGATCCCTGTAATTCCCGTCTTGTCCAGCTCCTTGTTCTCTCCCTGCAATTCACACACCCTTCTCCAGCTTTATCTCACCCAAACTCCTGCCACTTCAGCCTCCTGAGTTTCTTATCTTTTTATTTAATCCTATTAGTGATAACAACCTCAGAACAGAATTTAAAAACAGGCCATTATTCATGCCCAGCTACTGTAGCTATTAACGTATTTTAGGCACACACATTCACTTCAGATGACATTTTCAAGATCTGAATTAGTTCAGGAGACCAGAGTTTTAAGAAACCAGAAAAACTTAATTAACTGATTTTCTTCTAAACTATCATTTTAACTGTTTCTTGTAGTCTCTCTCCTATCATGTCAATCTGGAAAGCAAAGATTAGCATCGCACTCAGAATCACCAGGGGTCAGGTTCAAGAGCACCCCAGTATTAACATCAAGAATACAAAAAAGTCAGTTGGAAAAGAAAAAAAAAAAAACAAACCACCAAAACCATACACAAACAAGCCAAAACCAGAAAACACAACACATTTTATCTCACATTGCCAAGAACATCTACAGAACTATTAAAAATGCCTCCTGTGCCAAGTTAACAAATTATGCTCACATCACTCCAATATAGATAAAATTAACTGAATACCCAGTCATCATCACAGAGGGTGCTCAAACACAATTAATTACAAGTGAGAATGTTTAAAATGGAGCAGAAGAATCCGTTCTATGCAAGTTTTTACAGCTTTTTGAAAAACAAATTAAAGGGAACAGGGACCTCTGTTGTCTAGGAGACCAAAACTAGTCATAAACTACCAGGTTTCATTAATACACAAGAGATTAGCAAATTAAAGACTGACAAGTAGATACATCCATAGCAATTCTTTTTATTACTGTTCACCAGCATAGGTCCAGCACTGTTCCACCAGGACTGAGATGCTTTGATAGCGTATACAGAACCCAGTAATATTCTTTAAAACACCTTCGCTACATTTACATTGTTAGTTCTGATACAAAGAGAAAGTAGTGAGCTAGGACTTGCCCCCTCCAAACTGTTGTCCAAGTTGCTGAAAATTTTTCACTTTTGAGGTACACCTTTTCTTCTATCAAAAAGGCAAAAGCATTTATCATTTGCACAAATAACATGTAAGGAAAGAGCGAAAAAAAAAAGGCTAAAAATATAACAATGATAATATGTGCTTGTGTTTTTTCCCTAAGTGGAACTAGGTGACATCAGTGCTCTGCACGGAATATTTACTTCAGTATTTCTCAGTTTGCTCCCAACGACTAGTAGGGAAGTAAACGCAACATCATATTGCAGAGGTCAAGAAACAGAGTTTATAAACACTAAACACTGATTTGTATAGAGATTATAATGGTTTTACAACACATTAGCAACTGAAAACAAGAATTTCAAATAAAAATCACATAACCTAAATAGAAAAAACAACCTGTTGGAAAAAGGAACAGGGGAAAATTCAGAAGATATTTTTACAATTAAAAAAAAAAAAGGAAAACAAAGGTAACTATAAGGAAATAGGATAATAAGATAAATTTTTAACACTGATTGAAAGAGCAAGTAAGAACAACAACTAAGTATCTTCTAAAACTTGGGTACCCAGAGTATCACACATTTAAAAAATACAACAATCTTGTTGCTTGGAAAAAGCATAAAATGGAAATGATGCACTTAGAAGTGTGGGGTTTTGGGGTTTTTTTTTTTTGTTTTGGGTTGGTTTTTTTTTAGATTTCCATGGAATTTACAGAACAGCATCAAAAATCTGAGTATACTAACAGGTACACCTGGTTAGTCCTAAGAAAAAGAGACTAAGGAGAAACAATATACTATGAATGCAAAAAAGGATTTTAAAAAGAAGACGTTTAATCATTTGTAGTGAATGAAATCAGAAAAATAAAACATGGAAATACTGCATTAATTATGTAGCTCCATAAGATTAATCTGCTAAAGATGACTGTAGAAACCTTTGTTTTTTACCTCAGTTCTGTATTAAGTTCTATGTTAAGAACTCTTAATGAGTGGAGTACTTGAAATCCAAACTGAGAAAACAGTTCTCATCACAAAGCACCTTAGTAGATGAAGTCTCTTTATATTGTCAATTCACTGTACCAATCCTACTACCTCCCTCATCAGTCATTGGCTTACCCCCCTTCAGCTCTGCCACCATAGAATCCTTTCTTATTTCAAGATCCCCGCAAGTAAGTTTATCTGACCTAACTGCTTTACCAGTTACTGACATCAATCAGCCTTCACTTTGCAAATATCTTCAGCATTTACT